CCATGTCTCATGTGGTACCTTGTTTTACAGGCTGTGCCATGTCTCATGTGGTACCTTGTTTTACAGGCTGCGCCATGTCTCATGTGGTACCTTGTTTTACAGGCTACGTCATGTCTCATGTGGTACCTTGTTTTACAGACTGCGTCATGTCTCATGTGGTACCTTGTTTTACAGGCTGCGTCATGTCTCATGTGGTACCATATTTTACAGGCTGCGTCATGTCTCATGTGATACCTTGTTTAACACACTATGTCATATCTCATGGAGTACCTTATTTTACACACTATGTCATATACCACATTTTACTTTGTTTTACATGCTCTGTCATATCTCAGGTGATATCTTGTTTTACATACTATGTCATGTCTCATCCATAGTCTAAAATCGGGTTTCGATACCCATGGTTGGCACAGCACAAACAGCTCATTGTGTAACTTTGTGCTTAACGACAAACAAACAAATTATTAATAGCAAAACTGTGTGAAAGATCACATGCCTCAAATGTTATATAAATTCTTAATAACTGCTACGTAATTAAATATTATATATATATATATATATCACTCTTCCATTATTTAGGTGGAGAACGGACTCGAGCGTTAAACGTCTTCATATAGACAGAACGTATACTGAATTAGAGAAACAAGCTCTGCCCAGACTAACAACAGGGAATATGGGATTTCTTGTATTGACCATCAGTAAGTATGTTTTAGGAAGCAAATCTTGCTAGATTATACCCTAGTCCGAAGGCTCATCCGTCTTACTGAATACGGTGTCATCTTTACATAAGCACATGAATACCGGCATGGTTGACGAATTGGCTGATGCGGACGGGATGATGTGATTGCTCAGCCCTCGGGGGCCGATAACACACGCCACCCTAAAGTTTTCCCGTGGTGTTTTGTGTCAACTAAATAACACTGGCCGCACCCTATAGTAAGAAAACCATTAATCATAATCACGTCATTCTAACCCCCCTCCTATCTGATTTTACCGGAATGGATGCTACTACGGTATAAAGTCGAAAGAAGCAAACAAGATACTCCGTAAAGTTTCGGTTTTTTTTTATCTTGACTTCTTCTTTTTTTCCTGTTTGATCTGTGATTGTATCAGTATAATCGTAGTTTCGGTGGACGAAAGAACTTTCGACATGCGCAGTAAACTCCTCTGGGATACGTTATTTACTCGTTTCTGTTAGTGAAAGAAACAGGCTTTTAAGAGTAGACTTGTGTGAAATGTTGTTATTAATATTGTTTGCTATTCATAGCATGTACCAGTGAGATGAAAACGATTTTTTATTTTTTTTGCTTTTTAACGATGTTTTGGCAAATCCTATATAACGTCACACTTTTAAGGTTCTCAAGCGCTTTACAATACCCTTCCTATGTCTATATTTCGGAAGTAGGTTAATAGTGGAGATTCTATTCTTGAAACAAGATGAGAATAAAATATACAGTTTTTCCTATATCTTGTTAACCTTGTTAACCCTTTTCAACATAAACCAGATTTATATCAAATTTCAGTACCAAGAAAATATTATTCAAATAAGAAAGTGATTTAAAATATCGTTTAATGATATAACTGAAAATTTCCAGTTTTTTATTGTTTAATATATTTCATTTAAAAAAACAACAACAATTCACAAAGTGAATTTTATGATTTTATTGATACAAATAATATAAATTATTAGTATTATTTAACGACCGCTAGGAGGTGCACAGTGTGAGAATTTTCCATTTTGAATAAAATTTGTAATTACTCTTCTTTAATCGTCAGAGTTTGTGAAATATGCTGACAAAAATTTAATGTTAAAAACACACAGAAGCATGCTTCTTATCAAACGATATACTAATGAAGAGGAGGTCCTTACAACGTTGTTAGAAGGCTTACTTGTTCTTTTAGGCTTGCTTGACACGGTCATTTGTGTCGTTAAAAAAGTGCTATAGGGTTAACACTTTAGCTCAGATGGTAAAACGTGCCTTAACTAGAGATGGAAAAGTTAGATTATCACAAAAACATTAGTGCCAACGTCGGAATGTCTCACGACTTGGAAACTTGGGCCGAGGACAGGTCTTGCTTCTGAGAGGGGAAGAATGTGGTAGCTAGGTAATTTTAATAATTTAAAAGCGCCCTACTAGTAGCAAATAGGGTGTTAATGTTTCAACCAAATGATAAAGTACTCATCCAGAGTTAATATCAGTAGATGCAAATTGGAGAATGTCACAACTACTGAAGCTTAACTGATTTATGGATTTTATCTGATCTATTATAATCGTGTGCAAAATGTGGCTAAAGTAATAATTTATAAAATCTTCTAATAAACTCAAACTTCATAACAGATACAGGAATACTTAAGAAACCTTAAAATTCTTACAGAAACTAATGCAAAAAGTTATATGGCAATGTTTTAAATACTTTTATTCTAAAAAAGCTTGAAAAATAATACTATAAAAACACTATCACTTATGTTTTACTTTGAAGTGTACAGAATATTGTAAAAACCCATTCACTTATGTTTTACTTTGAAGTGTACAAAATATCGTAAAAACCCATTCACTTATGTTTTACTTTGAAGTGTACAAAATATTGTAAAAACCCATTCACTTATGTTTTACTTTGAAGTGTACAAAATATTGTAAAAACCCATTCACTTATGTTTCACTTTGAAGTCTACAAAATATCGTAAAAACCCATTCACTTATGTTTCACTTTGAAGTGTACAAAATATCGTAAAACGCATTTTCATAATGTCGCTCATTTGGTGTGTTTGTGTCAGTAAAATGGTATTTTTGCTACTTCACTGTTTTCACAAATATTAAATTTCACTTTAAGATTTAAAGCACCTCCTAGTGTGAAAAATAAAAAAATACCACAAAGTTTTATGTGTTCGTAGGTTTCACACAGAATACTGTGTTTTAAAGCATTCTTCAGTTGACGAGTGAGGGATGAGATTTTATAAACGATGTGTATATATATGTAAAGAATTGTTCTTCTCCTTCTCTAGCAGTAGTGTACCTGCTACTTTAGGTTTCATGTCCCTTCTGTTGCAGCAGTGTACCTGCTACTTTAGGTTTCATGTCCCTTCTGTTGCAGCAGTGTACCTGCTACTTTAGGTTTCATGTCCCTTCTGTTGCAGCAGTGTACCTGCTACTTTAGGTTTCATGTCCCTTCTGTTGCAGCAGTGTACCTGCTACTTTAGGTTTCAAAGTTAACTCAAATGTACGTTATACCGATGTTATACTACTAATGAATTCTATGATATAATGAAATGATATACGTTATACCGATGTTATATTACTAATGAATTCTATGATATAATAAAATGATATACGTTATACCGATGTTATACTACTAATGAATTCTATGATATAATGAAATGATATACGTTATACCGATGTTATACTACTAATGAATTCTATGATATAATGAAATTCCTCATATCTCGAATAAAATAAACCTCATAATGGAACAAACCATTGTAGGCTAGAGATGTAGGGCATATCGTGCAGTGCTATGATATATATATATTTGTGTGTATGTTTATAGATTAGCTTTGTAAACTTATTTATTTCGGTCAGATTCACGTACCTTGTATGTTTCGAGGCCATGATATTTGTACGTTTTGTATAACCGTAAAGCTACGACAAACCAATATCTGATCTTGTTTGCATTATCTCTGTTTGTTATATCATTTCTTTCTCCCTGGTCGGTCTCTTCATTGCATGTACTTTGCGCTATAATCAAGCTCGATCAATTCAAGTCATTTGGGTGAAACCTGGTGCTATTAACTTGACAATTTTCTTCCCGATGAATCTAGAGAGGTGTGCCGTTTAGGTACTTGCATTTATTTCATCGACCCAACTGCACGTGCTCCAAACAACTATCCTAACAGTACACCTTTTGTACGTGTTCGGTGTGGGATGTGTAAAAGTACCTTCGTTTCCCAACGCTTACTATTGATTTTGGGTATCAATAAAAGTTATTATGGAAGTCATTTCAACGGACCAATACGAAGGGAATATCGAGTGATTCAACAACAAACTCTATTTTTTATTTGTTACCGTGCCTACTCCTCCGTTAGGCTTCCTAGGGTCGAGCTTTATTGATATTTTCACCTTCTGTTTGGATACCGAAAAGTCCCGCCCTTACGACACGTTGAACTCGATTAAATCAACCAATAATGAACTGGTAGCTCACCACACAAAAGTGGTTAGTGACGAATCAGAAATCTGCTTGTTTGACTTGTCCGTTAGTAGGCAGAATTTATAATATTGTTCTTTTAATTTTCCGTGACATGCTGAGGAAGTTTTGTGCCTTCGCTGTTGATAACAATAGATTTGACTAACGTGTTTTGGTACCAGGAACCACTAATTTATACTGTTCAATCACATGTCCGTGATTTATCAAAACTTCAAATGATAAAACCATTCATAAATTCAGTATCCGACGGAAACGGCTGCCTATAGGGAATATTTAGATAAATATATTGTCCCACAAAATTATATCGCAACAAAGATGGCTTAACAGACGGGTACCTAACGTTACCACCAGGCAATCAAAATAAGAGATAAAAAACAAAAACAATTAAACACGTGTGCCATATTGGTTATGTCCAAACAATTAAACACGTGCGCCATATCGGTTGTATCCTCTCTGTTTCCTGTCTCTTTTTATACAGTACAAATGCTAGGCAATAAAATAGTTATCTACATCTTATTATACGTTTAAATCCTGTTAATTACACCTACTTTGTTCTGAAAGTTAACTCATTATCCAAGTTCCAAAATACCTTCTAAAAAAGCAATATTGTGCATTCTATATAGAATATACAACGAGGAAAATCTTGTTAACTTGATTTTATAAATCAGGTATCGTGTTTTTGATATTGTTGGAAAGCTCAGTTTCTAGCTAGTCTTCAGTGTATGTCTTAATTATCGTGTTTAAATAAAATCGTATTCTATATGTATATTAATTGCAGAAAACGACTTAACAACAATTATCTGCGTATACAGTTAATTGTTGTGAAATCCAATTTTCTTTACAACCATTACATGGATATTGTTAGCTGTTCTAAGTCCCAATAACATCTGTTATCTGGATCCATCTAATTATTGATATTTATATCAGGACAATTGTACTTAATTGAAGCTCGGATTATTTATGTGAAACCAGTTGCAAGTATGAAACACTATTTTTGTTCATATGGCGAGTTGAAGCATAAACCTAAAACATAAGTAAATGTCTAACAAAGTTTTGTCACTTTGATGTAGAGTATTCGGATAGGACCTCAATAACACTTTAATTCAACAAATTATTTGAATAAATCTTTATTTATAATACAACTCCATGATAAGTTTCACATTTTCATACCTCTAACAGGGGTTTCCCTCCATTCTCCGGTTTCAGAACTAAAACAGGAGTTTTAAGTCAAAAACTGAGTAACATGCCCTTTGCTAATTTTTCCGGTTTCAGACCTCTAACAAGGGTTTTAACTTAAAACTGAATAACATGTCCTTTGGTAATTTTTTTCCGGTTTCAGACCTCTAACAAGGGTTTTAACTTAAAACTGAGTAACATGCCCTTTGCTAATTTTTCCGGTTTCAGACCTCTAACAAGGGTTTTAACTTAAAAATGAATAGCGTGCCCTTTGTTAATTTTCCGGTTTCAGACCTCTAATAGGGGTTTTAATTCAAAACTG